TTTTTTCTACTTGTAAAATTGTAACAGAATTCCTATTTTGAAAATAATTAATAGGCACATTTACAATGCATGCAACAATATAATGTATACTATTGTTGGTCAAATCTCTTACCCCAAAAGTATAATAGTTAACAAATACAAAAATACTAGAAAAGAATACAGCCGTTTATCTTAAAAATATTACACGTAGTGTTATCAATAAGTTAACAATGTGTACGTTATTTTTCACCAATCTTATCATATGTTTTAACCGCGAGAAGCAACAGTCAGTCTGAAGGTCATTGATAACAATGGAGCAGACCCAGCATTAATTATGAGCAGGTGATTTTATCTCGATTCTACAAAAGTTGCCGAAGCTGCAGCGTTTATCTTTTCGTGGAAAACTGCATTTTCAAAACAAACAAGCGGCATTTCAAGCTAAAATTGCAACTACTATGAATTCAATCAATTATACAATGTTTAGCTTAGTATAAAATGGAGAGGTATAAGCGCAGATTGGTGTTGTGATGTGAATATACTACATAAATGACTCATATAAACTTTTATATAGACATTAGCTGCAACGATTAATTATTTTACGGTTATGTGGCGAACTACAACACAAAAAAATATTTTTATTTCCCTATACATTTTCATATAACGTTTAATCGTCTACAAATAGGCCCGAGTATAATCCTGTGTTACCGTAGGTATTAAAATAAACCATAGTAATTTAATTTAAATGATAAAAACCCCTGACAACTTATATCATGACCAAACACTACAGTTTTTAAAGTTGTTTAAACGGTTCAATTCTGTAAAAAAAATGTTACCTAACCTAGCTTGATTTGATGACCAAATTTTAAATATTTTACTACCTAAGCACGAAAAGCATAACACGATTAGGCCAATTAAATAAAAAATTTCAGAAACTGCTTTTGACTAAAATAAGTTGATAACTACTTTATTATCATTAATAAAAATGATTTTTTTTCTGTTTAGATATTTTATATCAATCAAGTTTAACGTTTTATGCGGGTTAATTTTACTCGCACGCATACACAATCATATTTCAATTCATTGTTTGTCCTCAAATTCGCATGTGTATTTTATCGTGAGTTGTATGATTGAGTGTTTATATTTATTATCACTTACTTAGGATGCTAAAATAAACCACCCATCTATATGGACCAGGTTTACTTGGCTATATTTGGTGAACTATGGCCAGTTTTACACGGAAACATATTTGTAAAAACCTAAAAATGTGCTACTACTTTTTTCAGATTGTATGACTATAACTATAATAGTAGATGAGGACATAAAAGATTACGGTTTGATATGGCTGCAAAGGTAATTTGTAAAAAAATTAAAACCCACATACACAAAATGTATTTTTATTTAAAAACTATAAATCTCAACACACATATAATAAACATAATTCATATTAGTATATTTATAGTCAAAAAACTTAACAGTATTTGCCAATCAACTAAAATGTTCATATTTATGTTTTAATTTAACACTCGCTACTTTGAACGATTCCTCAGTTTTGGTACAATTTTCGTACGACTACGACCACTTGTTTAAATAATGCTGTAAAGCGAAACAGATAAGTCCTTGAACTTTACGCAGCTGTTTTCATTTATTCGTTGTACCATTTACTATTGGATAGTCAGTCTGTTGGTGACTCACATCAACTACGAAGATTTTGATCAAAAATACCCCCGCCACAGCAAACCTGCAGACTAAGTGAATTTTCATTTGCCTGAATTTATTTTCAATAAAATTTATTTAAATGACATTAGGTTTAACAAGTACTTAGGTTTGCTGCTACAGGGAGGATAATTAAGTGTGTTTTAGTAAAATAGCTTAAAATAAAATAAATAATTTCAAGTTTGGTCAAAATATAGTGTAAATTAAGTGATTTAGATTTACACACTTCTAAACTATACTGAAAAATCGTTTTTGTTAAATACACTTATTTTTACATGTCTTACTTGTGGTCCAACAGAATTTGGTGTTCTTTTAAGAAGAGCTATCATCTCAAAGATACGAGGATGGGTGTGTATTTATGGTTTTTTTCTCCACTTCAAAACTATTAAGAGCAAATAACAAAGAGTATTTTGAACTTAAATGCTTAAATCCATCAATTTTTTTAGTATTAAATGCTTCCAGGCGCAACTGGACATGGAAAACATTCTAAGGATTATTAAAGGTAGAATGAGTTTAACTCATCATCCACGGTCAATTGTCCAATTTAGTATTTTGTTTGACAAACTAGTAAATCATATGCAATCACACTAATAATAGACTACTATCAGGCAAAACTATTTACTACGATTGTAAATTGTTGTCCATTTACTGATAATGTTTTAACTGAAATACTCGTATATATGATTCACTTGAAATTGATGAGATTCGACTCTGCTTTTTAGCTAAAATTTTAATTTAAAAATTGAGTTGATGACCAAATTAGTTTTTTTCCAACCTATTAATGTTGATAACAATCGCATTTAAAAGAAGGTAAAACTAATGATTTTTAATATTTTTTATTTACGGTTTTACAATTTTTTTTATATGCTGTGGAATGAACCCGTCTCATACTAAAGATTAATCAGTTGTTATTTTCAATAATATTCTATTTGTTTTTTATTATTTTTTTGTAAATTTATTAATTATCTTTTTGATTGATCCTGGTTTAAGGTTAGTTTTTTTAGTACATTATCAACTAACTTGGTTATTTGTAAAAGTTATTGATATATTATATTGGCTTTTATGATTTAATACAGCACTTAATTTATTAATTATCTTTTTGATTGATCCTGGTTTAAGGTCAGTTTTTTAGTACATTATCAATTAACTTGGTTATTTGTAAAAGTTATTGATATATTATATTGGCTTTTATGATTTAATACAGCACTTAATTTATTAATTATCTTTTTGATTGATCCTGGTTTAAGGTCAGTTTTTTAGTACATTATCAATTAACTTGGTTATTTGTAAAAGTTATTGATATATTATATTGGCTTTTATGATTTAATACAGCACTTAAATACAGATTTAAGATTGTTTTTCAAGTTTGGTAAAAAAATATACGTAGATAATACTATGATATACTATAGGGATATACCCTCAACTTTTCATTGATACCCATACTAACGGTTTAAAAAAACTTCACCCCTACAATCCTATAGAAAATGTATTGCAATTGTTCTATCAAATTCACACATACCAGTTACTAAAGAGTAACATGTTGGGTATTGTAAAAGTACAATACCCAACATCGCATCTTATAATAGTGTAATTTATATTCTTTGAATCATAAATAACTGATACAGTTTAGGTAAAAGGATCGTGCCAGATTCTTTTCTAAGTGATCTTTGTATAAAGTTATGAGTTTTCCATTACGGTATTGTTAAGGAAGCGCCCCACCCAGTGTCAGATGGGCACTCATGTATTATCTCAGCTCTTTCCATAGGTCTTATAGGTCACGCTATAACCTTTAACCTACTTAAAATCCACTTTTATTAGAATATTAGAATGAAATATACATTACTTATATACGAGTACAGTAGTCTAGTAAGAATCTTGGTTGCTCTAAAATGTGTGTGGCTTTTAGACTTTGATTTAGAGATAAACTAACTATGTTTATAGTCAAATTCTTAATTGGGATAAAATACATGATGTTTTTCTTGAAGATTTGTACTGTAAACTTTAATTTTGAAAAAAAAGTATGTTTCACTTACTTTTACTAATGTTTTAACAGTGCTGCATCATTCGCGCTGATTTTGAACTTAATTTAAAATACAACAATTTTTATCCTCACTGAATCAGTAATCGTTTTTAATTCATATCTTAAAGGACAACGGGCTAGGTATATCTGTAATAGAGCCAAAATTGATTCCACACAACCTATTAAACATAGACCAACATTCAATTTTTTTTTTTCTAAAATACAAAACATCAATTTTGTTAGTAATTTTTATTTCATAATAAACATTGTTGTAAAACTTATGTAGGTCTTTACTTCCCAAATAGTAAACAAATAACCTTGTAAATTAAAGTACTTACAAGATCAAATGAATGAGAAATAACTTATCAGGGGCGAATTTATCCAACACACACATTTTTATCCAATGGCAACATCCTAATTCTGGAAAATAAAAGTACCAGTAAACATTATTATTCATATTCTGTATATATTTTAAGGTTATGTTGTAATTATTCAAATTAATAATAACTATGTTGAAGAAAGAACCTTGAAGACAGTGTAGGTAGATACAAATATTTGGCGTAAGCATGACGCTAACAGCTGACGATACCTAACAATGTTTGCAGTCTTGAACATATATTCAGCCACGCAATGTGATAAGAAAACTGCATGTAAAGCTTTCTAGGAATAGCTTCCTGACTCCATTCCCTTTTGATACTGCAAGTTCTCATCCTAACATACAATCTGGTGTTGTAAATGTTTTGGTGTCTTTTTCGTGTTCTTATCGCTTGAGAACGACCAATAGTTATGACTGTTTGTCTATTTTTTCTAGTAAATTACAAATTTAGAATTTCCGGAGACTCTTACTTCTCCTGTTTTTGCAGACACCAAGAAGGTGATTAGGTTCGATGACATATCTGACTCTATATCAATATTCTGTCCCCAATCGTGAATGCCATTCTTTCATTGATCAGTGCATCAACTTTGTACACACCCTACAACCTCCAATGCTCATAAACTCTTTTCACTCCTGTTTTTGCAGGCACCAAGAAGGTAATCGGCATCGATGACATCAATGACTCTATACGAATAACGTCTTCAGCCATTCTTTGCCAAATCAGCACTTCAGTACACCAAGGGATATCTTCAGGGGGGGGGGTTGATATCGATGCCATCACTATCAATACGAGTTTCTCCTTAGACCACCCATCATGAATATCATTCATTGCTAAATCAGTGCTTAACCTTTTGCATTGACTTCTAAGCCCCTTTAACTTCCGGAGACTCTCATCTCTTCTGTTTTTTGCAGACACCAAGAAGGTGATCGGCATCGATGACATCACTGACTCCAAGACCATCTGGCGGTGCTTGGCTGCCGAGCTGGTGGGAACGCTGCTCCTGGTGCTGATAGGGACAGGATCTTGCACGGACGTGCAGAGCACTGCTGGGGATGCCGTGGTCAGGATCGCACTCACCTTCGGGTTCATCATCGCTACTATGGTCCAGGTCAGAGGAAGCTGTAAATGATTAGTCTGTACTCTATAGTCTTCCTTTAAGTACATGTCCAAAAGGTGAATCGATCTCAGCCTAGCCACCGAGGCTGAATCTTCCAACTACAAATGATCGGTATCGGTACGGATCGGTATCGAAACGTATCCATCCAACATGGTTGACGTCTGAACCCACAACGGTTATGAGAATTCTTTGTTTAGAGTTCATTGCTAGGTGTGTGTTGAAAATATATAGTGTGGGAATGTATCATTAGTGGTAAAACAAAGTTTCTACGTAATTTTGAGATTCATATTCTGATCTAGTCAGCAGGAGAACCTACAAAACTTTACTTTTGGACATTGAAGTGGACATCTCCCCTACATGGACTAGCTGTAGCTATTATTGAATAGAACATCTGTATGATGATCCTCTAACATAGTACGTTACTTTTAAGCTATATATCCAAACACCCCTTTTTTGTCACTGGGTTATGCACGCCAATCAATGGCCAAAGCTAGCTTTAACCCTGCCCTGTTGAGTAAAATAAGTACTACTAGTTGTATCTTCTAGTTTAAAAACATTATACTAATGATAATTGCGTCCTCTGATAGTTATGAGTCCTAACATCACACTTAAACTTTCTGCAACGTTTCAAATAAACAATTCAACTGGAATCTTGATGTAAGGCAAGTAAAGACTGGCAACAGTTAAACTAGCCTACATCGTGGACACCGTGAAGACTGTTTTTACCAAATCCTCTTCTGAAAATCGTCAAACCATCTTCCACCTTCAAAACCAAACCCGATCGACAAAGCCCGAGGCAAATTTATCGTTCTAACATATCCGCAAACATATGACCGGCTTGAGGTATGCGACGCGTACTTGACATTACTGCACACCATTCATGTAACCTTTCTATCACAATGGCGTGATTACCCAGATGGATGGATCAATCACCATTACAGTCTTGATGCTTATCGGGTCACGATCACAAGAAGATGTATAGCACCACACCTCGCACCTGTGCCTACTGTTAACCGGCCTTGTAACGGTCCCACATCGAGTGGTTTATAGGAGTGGATTGAGTTTGTAGATTTCCACTTTGGTTTGTCGGTGCCTATATTTGGGTATTGGATAGGCAAAGCCATGAAGCAAATGGTTTAAAGGTAATCGTAAACTGTATTCTGTCATAAATGGCACTATAGTTTGAACGCTTTCTCTTGTAGCTACTTGTTCAAATTCCCAATAGCTTAAAGAATCTATAAAAGTTCTTGCTATAAAATATTTCCGAGATGCAGTTGATCAGAGGCCAACTTTAAGCCAGGTCTACCAACTTAGAAAACAAAAGTGGTGTATTTCGCAGGTGACAAGAACTTTCCCCACATTCGAGAACTCAACAAGAGCCACATAAAAAATATTATTAGGGTTTATGAAATCATGGGCGGGGTCAATTAAGGCAATAATGGGGGTTACGTCAGTGGAAACTCCTGGTGGTTGCGATTCTTAACAAGTTTATAGCACAGGAAGGCAACGACGTTCAGGAATGAGAAAAGTAGGTTGGCTGACTCAGCTGGGAAGTTTATAGTCCTTTTGTGGGAGAATTTATCATCTCGTAAGATCTTGAAGTTGGTGCTTGGATGTTGGTGATTTTTTCTGTGAAAAAGAGATTGTCCATTGACACTAAGGCGTGAAATTGGGAAAAATGTGTAGAAGTTACAAAAAAAGTCCAAATCATTCTCTTAATAGTTTTCTTTGAATGAAACTCTTTTGGCCGAAAATACGTTATGACACTACCCTAATTAAGCAAACTTTCATATGTTGTGAAATTTTCTCCTTCAGCTATAATGTAACAACTGCAAAAACACTAAATCGTTTGTTTTAAGCTCTACAAAATAATTTGGAAATAAATTGCAAAGTTTTATGTTTTAATGGTCGAAAATGGGAAAACTCAATTTTAACCCTTAAAACCCCATTCCCATAGTACGATTTTGCTGGTTCGTGAAATAGATACAGTAGAAGTCAAATAGGTTTACACGTATGTATGAAATTTCATCAAAATCGGAAATTTTTTACTCAATAGATTAAATAGCCTATATCGAATTCAACGAATGGTGTTTTTGACATATACTGTAGCTTGCTCCCTTTATGGGAAACTCGCTTAGGTTTTGTAATCTTATTACCAAAGAAGGATAAGTGTAAGATGGAGTAATCTGTATTGTGTACCTTAGTTACTGACTAAGGTCAGATTGTTTTAGTCAAGATAATTATTTAAAACCCCCAATGGTCAAAGACTGGTCTAGTTTCAAACAAATGAATAAAATTGAGTTTTCTCAAGATCACAGAGGTGACCTTCTAATTACTTGACGAATATTAAAACATTCCGTACTGGTTCGATCTTTTAAATTTCTCAAATCACAGCATTAAATCCTTATATTCAATTCAAACAGCATAATGTCAAAGCACAAATACGAAATAACTACTTTGTAACTGTGAACAAAGCGACACTGTTTTACCAATTTTGTAATGAATAAGCTATTTGTAAACTTACAATATCCGTAGCTAAACAGCAACTGGTGTGGAAATTAGAATACAATAGGTGTTGAGCAACAGGTCAGAGCGACTCGCCTGGAATAGGCTAAAGAAATTACTAACAAGTGTCGAAAAAGGGCAACGACTTTTTAAATTCACAGAAAATTCCGTTTAAAGCATTAATGACATGAAAATAAAAACGTTGTACTATCGTTCATGGAGTTGGGTGCAGGTTGCCAAAAACTGTTTAGGGTATTTCATGCTGCTACAAACTGGATATCCAACGGCAGGTTTCAAAATCTTAAGAATTTATTTTTTGAAAATTTCTTTTGTATTTTTTTTTTTATTTTATTTACTTTCTTCATGACTCCCTTTCTTGCTTGATCATGTTGTGTATCATCGAAAAAAGCTATCTAGTATCCATTAAAAGTTGTCGAATATAGATTTAAAGTTATCGATTATCGATTTAAAGTTATCGATTATCGATTTAAAGTTATCGATTATCGATTTAAAGTTATCGATTATCGATTTAAAGTTATCAACTATCGATTTAAAGTTATCGACTATCTATTTAAAGTTATGGACTATCGATTTAAAGTTATCGACTATCGATTTAAAGTTATCGATTATCGATTTAGTTATCGATAGGAATATTAAATCGATCCTTCAACTCACAAATTTCTTACTACTAAACCGATTCATAATGAATACGTGTTAAGGAATATGTGATTAGCAAGAAGCAAAATAAAGAAACATATTTTTGCATCATACCCACATCATGCTCATGGTGTTTTCTCATAGGTTTTTATCTAAAATAAATTAAACTCAAACTAAGTGCTCTCATTGAGACAGCTCAATCAGTTAGCCATGCCATAACGGATCCTAACCGGTTGTCATACTTTACATAACACGTATGTGTGTGTGTGTGCGTGTGTGTGGTCACGGTCCCATTGATACTTGTGTTCAGTTCCATCGTCCCGTGTCCTATTCTCACGACACGAACGCCCACTCAATAGCATTCACTTTCATAGGTCAGGAGCGAAACATGTGGGCCACGCTGTATTTTGAATGTATCACGGGCTTAAAATTTGTCCAAAGGGTTTTTTAGGTTAACTATTTGTACTTGTATCATGTGCAAGATATTTTTGTGGGGGAGCGAGCTGGTCTATTATAGTTGTTAGAGCGCGGGACTCCCGTTCCTGGGGTCCCGGGCTCAAATCTCGCCAAATCACCAATAGATTTTACCTAAGTAATAATGCCGTAACTCCTAGGCCTAGCCTGAAGTAATGTGAAAACAATTCCGGGCTCGTGCCTAGCGTCCTGGGAAAAAGGTATTTTTGTCAGGAGATTCTATGTTCCATTAAAATTTAAAGGGATAGAAAATTATTCATTTATAATATAGGTTACCTACCCATTTTCTTTGACAATCCACAATCAATTTGATCAGATCAATAGTTTTGTTTGGTTGGCAACGTGATTATGCTACCAATTAATTGCTTTTAAATGTAATGTTTGTGTTTGAATGTTCCTAGTGACGATATGTATTTTTGACGATTTTGACAATCCTATGGGATTTTAAAACGGAAAATAATGCTCCAAAACCAGTCATTTTAAAGTAGATGGATTAATGATAAAAATACCTGTTACCTATGTATTATGGTAGAGATTATATTTTATTGCAATGCAAAATTAGAAACTTCACAAAATACAGAGCACTATCCAGAACGTTTACAACTGTTTTAAAATGTACATCAACAGTTTAAGGTTCTGTGAGGTATTTAAATTTCTGCGGTTCAGTTGATAAAATTATTATTTACCCTAGGAAACTAATTTGTCAGTAATTAATTAAAAAGGTTTGACGTGGGAACAGAGACCATAGTCGAAACAGTTTCATAAAAGATCAAAAGTTTGGAGACCAACGAAGTCTGTTGAACATTCCATTTGATCCTCGCACGCTATCTTCCCTTTTGATTCGGATTTGATTTATTGAATAAATGAATAGACTCAATCAAACCTTTCAAACGTCTCAACCTTTGCTTGAAATGAAGTACCCAAAACAATCTTCTTTGTTGGTACGGTGTGGCGATTATTTCAGTTGAATTTAATATTATGACATTCAGTAGTTCGTCATCCCGTCCCGGATGAATTTCAGACCAACTAAATGTTAACTAGTTTTACTTGTTGTAGAACTAAAGAGCTTACTTAGTTTTATGTATGTGACTAATTATTGTTCGTAAACAAAATACTTAACAACTCATGCCACATGGGTTGAGATATGATGTGAAAAGAATCTTCACTTACAGATGATCAGGTATTTCGCTACTTTTGATTTGGATTTTGATTTTGCGTTGGAAAACTTGATAAAATGTCTACCACAAAGGGTTTTGGCTCAATATTTTCCATCCCAAATTCACTCAATTCCTTTCACATGATCAACTTTATCTAAAGTAGCATCAAGTTACAATAATCAGGCGAATCTTCCCAGA